GTTACTTTGCACAAAGTTGCGCGTTGTGAAATCGCGGGTGAATGAGACCGCAATTAAATTATTTCCATTCAGATTCGTCTTTTTTCACATGGTGCTTCGCGCCGACAACGGCGATAACGAGGTCGGCGCGTAGTTGCGCGTGTATGCAAGCCATTAAGTATTACCTAACTGCATGGGCGTGCGAGAGTCGGGAATACAGAAAGCGGCAGATGCGAGGTCGAGTGATGTCATGCGTTCGATGTTCTCCAAGTTCGTGGACAATGAGTACGCGCGCGCACACGTGCACCGTGTAATGCATTGACAACCTTTGTTTTAGAAATATAACGCTTTTTCACGGTCGAGGAAATGTTATTAATACTCACATCTAATACACGAACAATTAATTATTGAGTGAGAAACGCGGAGCGTGTAACGCGCGGACTCGACGCGTTTATCATAGAATTGTATATTCGTGAAACTCGCGGAATTGAACGGTCTCGTTGTTAAATCCACGTCCGCTCGTAAAATTTTTTTTATCTTCCTCGGAAGTTTAGAATTTATCGGAAACGCGCGATCGTCTCGCAAGAGTACGCGTGGATATTCGGCCGCGAATCAGACGGAGCGATCGTAAATTCTGGCGGGTACCTGTGGATCCTCTAGTGGAACCAATTAGCGGAGCCTCCCGCCTATTCCGTTCGTTCGTGCGATTCGTTATCGTGGAGCCGAGATACGCGCAAAGTCCCGCTAAAGAGCGAAACGCGACCGACGACTAATTCAGAGACGACTGAATGCCGTTTCTCCAAGGGAGTTTCTCAAAGAGACAGCGTCGCTGTTACCGGCAGGCGAATTAATTAGCGAGCCGGGAAACCTTGACCGGCTCTTTTCGGCGACGATGACGACGACGACGACGTCGACGACAGCTGCGGTGAAACGACGTAACTGCGAATCGTTAATTGCTGAAAGAACCGGAACGTCCCACGTCGCGAATGAATACGCGTGTAAGTAGCTTAAGTGGCTCCGCTTCTATGTACAAACTGTGCTTTCTCCCATCGTAAAAGTCGCCCGCTTCTCCATTCAAGAGAAAATCGCTGCCTGGCGAACCAAGTCTCGCGTAAGTACTTCACGGCGCTTGGAAATTCTAAATGTAATATCTGTTATCGATTTGTCGATGAATCCAATATCCGCGCGCTAAAATATTTAGACGGACAAGCTTCCAACTTCATTCCGCCGAACTTAATTACAACGCAGACGATTTTGATTTTCGATATTGGCGCGCAGTCGTAAGACTGCTAATAAGTTCGCGAATAAGCGGGTCGATGTTTTCGCGCTGAACTTTAGTAATTAATCGAGCGCGGCGAAAGAACAGGCCGGGAAAGTAGGTGGCTAAAAGCGGCCGCGGACCGTTTTACTCCCCCGAACTCCGTCCGTCCATCCATTTCTCACTGCGCCGACCTCCCCCAGCGCAGTATTTCATCTCACTTTCTCGTTACTTCCGCTTATCCACCGCTGCGCGTTCTCGCACGTTAAATTACGTTCGCATGTCCCGGCGAAATTCAACAAGACACAAAAAGAGAGCTTGTAACTGCAAAAATTAAAGATCTCTGAAACGACCAATTTTTCTAAGCGGCCTTAATTCATTCGGAAAGAGGGGGGAGCGCACGGGGGAGAATGGCAGTACTCTTAATATTCACTTTGCGCGTCATACAAATGTTCGGGTATAAAAATGGCCGAATTCCATTTTCCACCGGTTGTCGCCCCCGTCCGTTTCTTTTTCAGCGATTTTTCGACGTCGCGCGAGAATTTAGAAATGTCGTTGTCGTCGTCGTCGAAACGGCGAAGATTCGCCGCAGGCCGTATTCGCGCGTGTCTGACTCAGCGGGAGCGCGAGTTCCGAGGACATTTAAATTTATCTGCGGATAGCGTCGCGAACGACTCGAGTGAAGAAAATAACAGGAAAACAAATCGAGCGTATTGCGACGACGCGCGCGGGAGGGAAAAAGAGCGAGAGAGAGTGAGAGAGAGAGAGAGAGAGAGAGGAGGAGGAGGAGAGA